CAAACATCCTCGTGGTGTTCCCCTTGGTCAGGCCCCATATGGAGCCAATGGCGTGGCCAGTCGCTTATGGGGGATCTGGGGAGATCCCAAACTCGGTGTGTTCCTGCTCCCCTCTAGGCTGGGCAGAGCACAACCCTGTGCATCCCCCTGGGCCCTGCTGGTCTGTGCCCGCTGCCATGGGCAGGGTATCCCCAGTGCTGGCCCTGTGCAGGCAGCACATCCCTCATCCCTGCCCTAGACGGGGTCTCAGCTCAGAGCAGATGGTGCAACTCAGCGCCACGTGCTCCTGCCAGAGCTAATGAGCAGCACATGGTGCCTGCCAGGGCCTGATTTAAAGGTTTCTCTAAGCCTGGGAAAATCTGGAGTGGGAGGATTAGGAGGAGCCCGTGGGGCTCTTGGGTCCAAGGTGGCGGGGTTTACCCTGCAGGGGAGCAGGCTGGGTGGTATTGGGGCAGCTTCCTTGGGGGATGGATGTGGGGTGAAGGCATGTCCCCCCCGAGAGCTGTGCCCAGTGAGGCTCTGGGTGCACCCCAGCTCTGTGGGGTGTCCCCAGGCTACCCTGGAGCTCTGTCTTGCCCCAGTGCTGGTCCAGATGCGCTGGCTGTGGCACCCTCTGCCTTGGCAGGGTTTGACTGGGGCACAGTGGCACAGGTGGCTCTGTGCTGTGCTCACTCCTGCTGGGAGGTGCCTGGCTATATCTCTTAATTGGAGCGTTTGCCGACCAGACCTGGCAGTCCCCAGGGAGCCTGATTCAATTTTCTCTGATTGCTGAGCCACTTCCCTGCCACAATAATTAAATGCTGAACTTTGTCTTGGTTTGGGTCCAATGTAACCTGTGTGCAAAGAGCCAGCCCTTGGCAGCCAGCCCTCTCCTGGGACCCTGTGCTCAGGGGGGATGAAGCTGGGAGATCCCTTTGCGGGCAAGGGGGCAGATCCCCCCCTGGGATTTGGGCCTGGGGCAGCTGCTGGCTCCTGGGGCTGTGGGCAGCTTGCAGTGTTGGCCTGGAGACGTGGGAAAACCTGGAACACTTTGTTCTGATCCCGTCCTGGGGAGCTGCTCGGCCAACCTGAGTGCCCCACACGCTGCCACGCCGTGCCCCATGTGCCACACACCGCCTTGTCTGTTGGCTCTGTGATGCTTGCAGTGTCCTTGACCCCTGAGGTGAGCTGGGGGAGCACAGGAAGATGTGAGAGCTGCCCCTTCTGGCTGCCCTGTGCTGCTTGGTGGGATTACAGGGCAGCAGCAAAGCATGGAAGACAGGTTTGGGGCAGAGGAGAGTGAAGTGGGCAGGGAGCAGAGGTGACAGCGAGCCTGGCAGAGGGGCTGTGTGCGAGGCTGGGCGTTTGGGAAGGTGCCCCTGCAGTTCTGGGGGGGCTGGAGGGAGCTGGTGACAGGGGGAGCAGGTATGGGGCCATGGGGGGAGTGGGGATGGGAGCAGGGCAAGCACAGGTGATGTGGGGATGGGAGAGAGCTGAATGCAAGGGGGGGGGGAAGGGGGGTGAGTGCAGGTGATGTGGGGAGTGGGGTGTTGTGGGACAGGAGCGGGGTGAACACAGGTGATGCCAGGAATGGGGATGGGAGCAGAATGAATGCAGGCAATGTGGGGAGAGGAGCCAGGTGCTGCCTGGGCTTGCCCAGCCCACCTGTCCTGGCAGGCTCATCCAGAGAGCTGGGCTGTGCCCTGGTGGGATCTGCCAGCTCCAGCCTCTGCCAGCCCGTGGTAGCTGATGGCCGTGGCTGGGCGAGGCACAGTGCCCAGCCCCTCACCACCACTGCAGTGGGCAGCCTTGCCCCTCTGCAGAAAAGGTGGACAAGAGGTAGTGGCTCCAAGCCTCCAGGGCCTGGCACAGAGAGGGAAAATCCCGTGGAACTCATCCACCCACTGCTCCCTGGCTCTGCTCCCTGGGAAACCAGCCCTGCCTGGCTGGGCAGCCTCCTTGGGAGGGGAGAGGCTCCTTGTAGGGTCTGCAGGCAGCCTCCCTGCCTCTCAGAGAGGTCTCAAAGGGACAGGAGCTCCCGGTGACCCCCTAGTCTGTGCAGCCCTCAGCCCTGCAGCCCCCTGCCAGCACTGGGAAATGTTGGGAGGGGTGTGTGTCCTCAGGCTCCCTGGGAGCTGGAACAGCCCCTGTGTGACATGGGTGATGGGTCTGGGGTCCCTGTGCCCACCCTCTCCTGTGGGCCATGCTGAGTGGGATGGCCAAGTGAGATGGGAGGGCTGCCTTGCCCCAGGGCAGCCATGTCTCAGCAGGATGCCTAACCATGGGTACAGGCAGTTTGGTGGGGGCCAAAGGATGCTCTGAGCCCCTTGGGGCTGCCATAGTAGTGGGCTGGGAGGGTGGAAGTTGAGACGTTGGTGAGGAGGACATGTCAGCCAAACTGTGCTGCCTTGTGCAAGGAGACAGCAACCCCTCAGAGTACAGGAGCCTGGTGGTGTCTGTGGTGTGTGCAGCCCTGAAGTGGGGCTGTGCCCCATATGGTCAGTCCCATCCCTAGGCCTCTTGCAGGGCTCGAGATGCTGGGATGGGGAGGTGCCTCCCTGGGAGGCTGCTCTTGTTGGGGTCAGGGACTCCTGAGCTGACCCTGCCTGTGGAGCTGCCTCACAGTGCCCACTTGGCTCCCGGCCCCTCTCCGCTCCTGCCAGCCAAGCCTGGCATAGGGCAGTGGTGCAGAACAACTCGCCCTTTGTGCCTGCCAGAGCTCCTGCCCCTGGGGGTGCAGGACCCGCTCCCCCCTCCCTCCCAGATGCTCGGTGTCCCCGGCGGCCCAGCCGTGGAGATGGCGCTTTCAGAGCCTGCCAGCCCGGCGGGGACGGGAAGGGAGCGATGGAGAGGCTCCAGCCGAGGTCCCCTTTGTGTCCCTGTGCCGGCTGCAGCTCTCCTGGCACGGATGTCGCTTGTGCTGCCGCGTTTGGATGCTGATGCTGGATGAGGCTCCTGCTGCGCCGCCTGTCATCGCCCCAGCGATAGCTGCCGGTTGGGGAGGGATGTTTTCCACCCCTGCAGGCTCCTCTGTCTGTCTGTTCATCCATCTGCCCCCCGCCCGGTGTGCCGGGTGCCTGGGAAGGTTTTCTTGGCAGGAGCACTTGGCTGGGACCGTGCAGCTCTGTCCTGGTGCTCCGTCCCTCCGCAGGGAGCTGAGGGTGGGGTGGAGCGTGGTGGTGGTCGGTGCCACTGTGCTCCTGCTGGCTCCCTCCTGCCCGGGGTGTTGCCTGTGCTGAGGTTGGTTTATCCATATGGGTGGAAGAGAGATGGGGGTGGTGCCGGGCACCCTGCTGGTCCCAGGACAGCCTGTGTCCTCCCCACGCTGGCTTTGGGCAAGAGCCATCACCAGTGCCAGCGTGGGGCCGGCTGGGCACAAGGGAGAGCTTGGGCTTGGGTCACTCCTGCCGAGCTGGAGGGTGTCAAGGCAGCACCCTGCTGGTGAACTGCTGCTTAATTTTGGCTGCTGCTTAGCAGGGATGTCCCTAATTGCCACATAACCACAGGAGCCTGTGCTGTGGACTCCCAGGGGGGCAGCAGGGCTCTCGGTGGTGTCCCAGCCCTTCTGGCCACAGCACCCTGGTGTGCTTGGCTCTGCAGTGGGTCCTGGTGGTTGGCACAAGCTGTCCTCCTGGCTGGTGGCCCATGACCAGGTGCAGAGCAGGTTGGCTGGCTGTGTCCAGAGACAGGTGAGGGAGCAGTTCCATCGTCCACAGGTTGGGCCCTGACAGCATCACACCCAGTTCTTGTGGACGTGGGTTAGTGGTGAATGTGGCAGTGCTGGGGGAATGGTTGGACTTGGTGATCTTAGAGGGTTTTTTCAACCTAAATAATTCCACGATTCTCTGTCTGATGGAGGTATTGTGGTGCCTGGCCATGACCTGAACAACACATGAGCACCTCCCTGGCCCAACCAGGGTCTCACGTTGCCTGGTGCCCAGTGTGGTGATGTGCTTCCTGGGAGGGCAGGGATGGGACACCGTGGTGTGGGAGTGCTGGGGCAGTTGAACACAGGGGAGCAGCTGCACTGGCCTAGAGAAACCCTCTGTGATGTCTCCTGGTGGCCACATAAGACCCCCATGATGCTGTGGGGAGTGGGGCAGATGTTGGTGTTGGTGTGTGGACACTGGAACAGCCCAGCATGGCCAGGGTGGAGGTGGGTTCCTAAATGCCCTGTGGAAAGTTAACATGCACACACCCCTCCAGTGCTGCTGCTCATCCTCTTACCAACTCCCCTTGGAGGTATTTAATCCCCTGGAAGGAGTGAAGTGGGGGGGCAGAGAGGGAAAGAAATATTTTGCTGAAAACCTGCTCTCATTTTTCCCGAGAGGAAAAAGAATTCCCAGGCATACTGTGGTTCCAGTTTGTTCCTCTGCCCATTCCTTGGGGCTGCAGTTGCTGTGCGTGTCTGGGGTGGCAGAACCACATCATCTTGGTCCAAAAGTAATTAAAAGTCGGGGGTAATTTTCCTGGAGGAGGGTGGGACCTGGGAAGGCGACAGGAGTGAGTCTGGGACTGAGCACATCAGAAACTGCTTTTTTGTTGTGGCTGCTGAGCTAAATATATCCAGGGAGGCGCAGAGCTGTTCCCACACGTCTGCTGTGCAGGGTGAGGGGGTGAAGAGGTGCTCCCGTTGCTGCCTGTCCCCGACAGGGACACCCTGTGCCCCCAAACACGGCCCAGGGGTTTGCCCCCCTCTGAGCTTTGCTTGCCTCTGGGCATGGATCAGTGGCTCCTGCATGAAACTGTGCCAGGGGAGGTTTAAGCTGCTTATCAGGAAAAGGTTCTTCCCTCAGAGGGTGGTCGGGCACTGAACAGGCTCCTCAGGGCAGTGGTCACGGACCCAAGGCTGCCAAGGAGCTCAAGCAGCGTTTGAACAATGCTCTCAGGGCCAGGGTGGGATTGTTGGAGGTGTCCCGTGCAGGGCCAGGTGTTGGACTCGAGGTCCTTGTGGGTCCCTTCCAGCTCAGGAGATTCCATGATTTTGAGTCCCAGTCCACACAGCGGCTGCTCAGGTTGCGATGTGGCTTGCCAAGGATGCGGTTTGGAGGAATTAATAGCTGTGTTTATGGAGCACCGGGGAGGGGAGCCGTGCAGTCATTAGCGCTGGGGAGAGCTATTTGCATGGCACTTGGTTCCAAACCCCCTCTTTCTCTGAGAGCCCTCTGGGAGTCCCAGCTTCCTGCAGCTGGTGAATGCACCGGCAGCCGGAGCTGCGCAGCCCTGAGGCGGAGC